TGCAGTCACGCCACGGTACGGTGGGCTTTGGTCCCCAACAAAAGGCCGCTTGACCAGCGACAAGGACAAGGCTGCTGTTTCCACCGAGTTTATGTCGCTGCTCGCCGGTCTGGCCCGTGGTGGTGGTGCTGGTGCCTGCTCCGCGCCCGCCTCGCGCCCCGAGGGGGTGAATTTCAACGGAAGCAAGTGAGAGAGAGGGTGAGAGAGTGGTGCAGGCACACGAGAGTGAGAGAGGCGGCCAACAGCAGGCAGCCGGCCCATCCATTGTGGAGCAGATCCACTCGCTAACTAGCTAACTATGTAGGCGGCAACTGTAAAGTGTTACTGCGCCCAGGACACACGCTGGCGCACGCTGCGTTCCCCCTGCCGCTTCTCTCTCTCTCTCCCTCCCTCTCTTTCTCCACCGTCTCTCTCGCTCTCATCTCACTCTCTCTCCATGTCTCTCTTTCTCCGCTCTCTCGCTCGCTCTCTCTTCATCCCCGCCCCTGCTGGTCATTCTGCTGTACAGAAACTTTTCAGCGCAGCCAGCCCCGCTCCCCACCCGTGACCAGGGGGCAGGTTTCGGCCCCGACGCTCCGCGGCCCGCAGCGGCATTGGGGGCGCGGGTGGGGCGTTCGGTCGGGTCGGGCTTAGTTTGGCGGGCCCGGCGCGTGAGGCTGTGCATCAGCTGCTGCACAAAATTAGACCAAAGTTGGCTCGTTAAAGATGAAGCTTATGACTTTGTTTACGTATTCATTGGATGTTGTCGAGGTGTGTGCCCCCCGCGCGTATCACTGGCAGAGACAAGAGCAAGAGGTGGCTGGAGAGGGGAGCGGGAGGTTGGTGGTGGTGGAGAAGAAGGAGGAGTGAACTTGCGAAAGGCACGCCGCGCCCGGCCCCGCCACGCCCCGCTGGGGCGGGAGGGCCGGGCCGCGCCCGACCAAGTTGGGTGGCGAGCCAACGAGGGAACCACCACAATGGAGTCTGGCGTAGGTAAGCCGTGGGGAGGGCGTCGCGGGCCAGCGTGCGGAGCGGACTGCCTGTTGAGGGTGGTGATGGTGGTGGTGGTGGTGTGGTCCCCATGGTGAAACCTTCGGCGGTGATGTTGGTGGCGACGACGGTGACGGCGGCGAGGAGGAGTAGCTGCTGCTGCTACTACTGCTGCCCTACCGCCTGTGTCTTGGTGATATGCGGCAAAGTTTCGCCGGTCGTTGCGCGGGTCTCGGTTGGTTTGTGTGGTTAAGCAGGTCACGTCTCGCGGCGGGTTTATAGGGCCGGGGAGGCGGCGTTCGCTGCACTTTGGTTGAAGCCGGCGGCGGCGGGGAATTTTGTGCCGGAGTCGTCAAAGGGTTTTTAAGGCTTATAGGGCCGTTTTGGAAAAGCGAGGAAGGGAAACATGAATCGCTTTGTGCGTCGCGCGCGCGTTGGAAACTTGGAGACGAGCTGGCGGCGGGTATTTCGCATACGCTCCGGCGCCCCATTTTCGTGGGCGCGGGGAGCGTCGCCCCGTGCTCTCTACCTCCGCCCGGCCCAGGCCCACGCGCGCTTGGCTCGTCGGCATGAAAATTTAACAGCAGGCAGGTAATTGCATCGTTAACGCGACATGAATTTGCAGTAAAACGGCCATACTTCCTAACTAACTAACTGTATGGGCTTCCCGTTTTAGTTTTAGTGGTGACGAGACCGCGGAGGGGGAGGAGAAGGAGGAGGAGGTCCCTGTCATCGTCCCGAACGCGGTCCCCTCCACAATCCCTTGAGCCCCTCCCGCCCATCGCCGGGGACCAGCAGGGCCCTTCTCACCACTACCACCACCACTAGTGCGAGCCGAGCCAGGCGCCGCAGCAGCACCCTGTCAGACCCTGGACCCGAGGCTCCCCTCCCCCGACACGCGCGGTGCGCTCTGCAACCGCTTGCAATTCTATCTTTAAGCTTTCTGCTGGCGCTGCTGCTGGCACGGCCGCGCTCCGGGCAGGTGGGCCGACCGGCAGGGCAGCCGTATTGGGCGGGCGGCCTACCCGGAGCTCTGCAGGCGGCAAAGCTGGACCCCTGGCAGGTAGGCCACCGCCGGCCTCCAGCGCGGCCGTGTTGGGCGGGCGGCCTACCCGGAGCTCTGCAGGCGGCCGCGGGTCGGGCCGGTGGTTGGTGGGCATCAGTGCATGCGGAGGCTTGCTGTGCTCTGTGCTGGCTGCTAGCTGCCGCTGCAGAACTTCCGCCTCTGCCGCCACTATGCTGTGCTCCCGTCCCGCACCCCGCCCAGTTGCAGTTCTCGTTGTTTTCTCCGAGTTGGGAATGAATTGAATGGGAACTTGATTCTGCAGCAGCAGCATGAGGCACGTGAATGGACGGTGTGAGGGAGGGGGGGGGGCTGGCTCATCGCGTCGTTGTACACGCTAACCGGGGCGCTCATTCTCGAGGGTTCCCGCTACCTCACCCTCTACCCACCCTCGCTCTCTGCGATCATTGGCGTTTCGCAAACTCTCCATCCCCTTTTTTCCAGGCTGTGAAGAGGGCCGCTATACGGATGTACAGGATGAAAGAAAATAAGGCCAGCAAACGTTTTTCTTGTTGTTGCTGCAGTCGTTTTATTTTTGCGGCGTGTAGTCGAGCGGACTCCGTGGCGTCTCGCTGTGCCTGGAATGGCGCCCACACAGTTGTCCTCCGGACAGGGTCTGGCGGTGCGGGGGCGGGGGCGACCAGTGGCGCCAGTTCGGCAGACAGGGGCTGCCCGCCCAGGACAGCAGCAGAGAGCGCAGCAGCGCGGCACCCCTTGCTCATTGCTATTTCATTTGTAAGTTGTTGGGTCCACCCACACCTCTGTCGCCCCGCGCGCCGCAGCAGCTGTCCGCACGGCTGTCCGCGCGCCTGTCCGCAGCTGTCCCCGCCGGCCAGTGGCCTGCTCCTCCCCCGCCGCCGGCCAGCCAGCCCTGGCCCGGACATGACATGACACACTTGCGGATGGGATTTTAGGGATGGATGGAGCTGGCGCGGGTTAGGGAGCAGGGAGAGGGGACATGGCGCGCGGGGGAGCGGGACGACAGCCTCTGCGAAACACAGTGCAGCAGACGTGGTGAAATATTAACAGAGAGCGGAGTGGGCGCCGGTGCGGGGCGGGGGGCGTGAGTACTCGCGCCGCGGCCGCTCCGTGTTGGGTGTCCGAAAGGGTAAAACAAATGGGTGCCGAGCGGGTGAGAAAAGGGAACAAAACAGAGGAGTCAAGGTATTTGAAACCAAGCGGATTTTTTTTTTTGGAACATCTTTTTTGTGGCCCTTGTGGCGTGGCGGGGCGTGGCGGGTCGCCTGGGGGGCGGCACGGGTAACAACATGGGGGGTTGTGTCGCTGGCGCTTGTTAGTGCATCGCGCAGAAGAAGACGCCCGGGCACAGCGGCACAGCCAGGCCGGCAGGGGCACACGGCGGTGCAGCAGGCCACCCGGTCTCATGTCACTCTCTCGCTCAGAGGCGAGGCGGCGGGGGAGCGGGGGGCACAGTAAAGTGTGCGAGTCCCACTGATGAGGCTGTGGAGGACGAGGGGGCTCCTGCTGTCCGGGACAGAAGTGACAGCGGACCTGGCTGGCCCTGTCCCCTTTACTTGGTGGGTATACTCTCATATCGTGGGTGGATGGGGGGCGGAGGGGAAGTGGAAGGGGAGGGGAATGGAGACTAGAGAAAGGAATGGCGCCCGCCCGAGTGAGCGGGCGCAGGTCAGAAAGACAGCAGGACGATAGTAAATTGTTTGTCGGTGGAATAACCGCGCGGGGGGCGCTACTCTCTGTCCTCTGCCAGGCGTCCAGGGCGGCCGCTTCGATCAGATAGCGGACGGGCTCAGCATCACCCGGGTCTCGGTGTCGGACCAGGGCTTCTACGAGTGCGCCGCCATCCAGATGTCGGAGCAGGTCACCGGCCAGCAGACCCGCAACATCAGCCTGCGCGTGCGCCGTGAGTACAATTTCCTTAAAACGCATCGTTGTTCAATGTTGGTGACATTGAAATAGTAAAGTCTTTACTGAGTGTTTTTGGCCTCACAATCATCAATCTGTTCGTTTCGCAGACAAGCCGACCTTCCTGGCGGCGACGACCAGCTCGCCCGTCTACGGCTACCTGACGGGCGAGGTAAACCTGACCTGCGCCGTGACGGCCGACCCGCCCGCCACCATCTCGTGGTACCCGGAGCGCGACCGGCAGCAGATGGTGGAGCCGCTCGCGTCCAGGGTCATCAACGAGGAGAACAGGTCCACGCTGAGGGTAAGGTCCGCTCCGCAGGTCGCCTTCGCGCAAAACCACATCATGTCGTTGCACAATAACAACGAGCCCCCCTTTTCTCTCTTGAGACACTACGACAAAGGCCTTGTTGTTTTTCACGTTAGGTGGAAATACGCGAAGACCCCGTGTATATTAAGCACGTGAGTACAGTGTGCGGGCGGCAGGGTGCGTTCGTGGCGCCCCGCCCCCGCCCGCGACCCCCTCCCCCCGCTAGCACCCCTACCACCGCCCCTCCTCCTCTCCCTCGCGATTAGGACCGCTGTGACCTGACCCCCCGCTAGGACTTTAGGCAGCCAAGGGTAGCGATCCGATGCGATATATTTGCTCTGGCTCCCAGCGGAGGCCCCGGGCGCGGGGAGTGGAGGCGGCGCCCGGGGGGACCGCCCGGGGGGGACCGGCGGCGCCGGCGCCTGACCTTGCTGGAGGACGTCGCCGGCCGGCGTCCTCTGCACGTCACCGCGAGTCCCTCCCGTCCTCTTCATTTATTTCGCCAGTCGTCGTCCAACAACTGACGAGATGACGTCACGGGCGGTAGTGCTTAGTGTGCATGCTTGTCGTTGTCGAGCTGGCTGACGGCGCGCTCCCTGTCGCAGGTGAAGCTGAGCAACATCACGGTGTTCGGCAAGTACACGTGCATCGCCCGCAACCAGCTGGGCAACGTGACGCGCATCATCCAGCTGCAGCAGGGCCTCAAGCCCAACCCGCCGCGCGTCGTCGTGCTCACCTCGGCCTCGGCCACCACGGCGCAGCTGGACGTGAGCTCGCCCGTGGTGGGGCCCAAGGTGCAGCACAGCACGCAGAAGAGCGGCAGCAACACCGGGGGCAGCAGCAGCGCCGGCGGCGCCAGCAGCAGCGGCGGCAACAGCAGCAGCAAGAGCAACGGCGCCAACGACACGCTGGGCTACCGGGTGCGCCTCACCCGGATCACCAACGGCACGTCCTACTCGTTCGAGCAGGAGTGCGAGCCAGGTGAGTGATGAGCAGCAGCTCCGTTTACTGCGGCTGGAGCTGGACCTGTGGAAGGGAGTTGGGGGGGAAGGTCGGGGTGTATAATTTTGAGTACACGTCCGCGAGAGTCATTCGCCCAAAAATAATTAACCGCCGCGGGCGAGGCTGGCCGTTTCATCTTTGAGCTGTTAATTTTCGGCGGCCTCCACAGCAGCTCGCCGTTAGCAAACGGTCGGCGGCGGAGGCCTGCTGCTATCGCCGCTCTCTGCTTCCTGTCTGAAATGCAGTGGTTTACAGCCCCCTTGCCCTAACCCCTGCTCTCCGCCCCGGCAACTCCCCCCCCCCCCCTCCCGCCTAAAGCCAACGACCACTCAAATTCCCCGTGTTTGGATAGCAGATGCCCCTTTTGCCTCGTTGCGTAGGTGAGGATGAGGCATGCGGAGGGAGGGGAGGGGGCGAGGTTTTGGAGGCATAAAGAAGAGAGAGGGAGGGAGAAAAAAAAAGAGGAAGCCGGGAAGGAGGGGGGGAGGGCTTTGGTGGGGCGCGGGAGTTCAAAGGCCCCCCGTTGGCTGGTCAAGGCTCTCTTTTTACAACCCCGGCGGCGGCGGCCGGCCGGCCCGGGGCCGCAGTAGATTTCTAGATTGCCCCGCCGTTTTCCACCGAACGAATCGTTCCGCCCTTACTTTCCTTCCCCACCTGTATCGCGGGGCGGGCGCAGGAGATTGGCTCGCACTATTCTTTATAAGCGCGAAAGAAACAGGTGTTGAAAGGGCGGGGCGGGGGACCGCCAGGAGGAAGTGGGGGGAGGGGGGGGGGCGATTGGACCTATTCCAGTGGGCCGTCAAGGAAAGAAGGGAGGTGGTGAGAAAGTGTACCCCCGTCCCTCGGCCCGCCAAAATTCTACTTGAGCGCTTTTCTGCAGCACCCTCCCTCGCTCCTCCGGCTGGGCAGCGGGCGGGCGCACGCCGTGCATTGTCCCCTGAACTGCTTTTGTATTCACCGCGCCATCAGCGTGATTGTTTTTTTGTTATTTTTAACGCCCTCATGTCTGCCCACTGCTTGCAGCGCCCTGCCGACTGTACAACCTCACCCCGGGCTCCAACTACACGATGCGGATCGCCACCAAGGGCCGGGCCGGCCTCTCGGACTGGGTGAACGGCCCCATGTTCCAGACGGCCATGGGCGCGGCCTCGGCGCTCGCCCCCAACCTGGTGGCCGTGGCGCTCTTGCTGGTCGCCGCCCTGGCCGGGACCCCGCTGGGCGCCGCCCGGTCGTAAGGCCGGGTGCCGCGCGTGCTGCTGCTACGCGCGCCGATGCCGCTCCAGGACGACAACGACGACGACGTCGTGGACGCGGCCAGGATCGTCGCCAGCCACCCGCCTGCTCCGGGCGAGGCCCGCGCGGCCTCCAGGCAGCGCTCCAGTGCCTCCAGTCGAGCCCGGCCGCGAGGCTGAGCGAGCGCTGTGAGCGCTGCTAACGGCTGGAACGGGCTGGAGTGGGCCGCGGAGCGCTGGCATGCCCCGCCATCATCTCCACACAGAGCGTCCGCTGGAGTGTCGTTTTCCGATTCCATTGTGCGCCGCGCGGGGCGCGCTCCTCATCGTGATCACCGTCAATCAAAAGATTGTAAAGTATTTCCCAATCAGAATCTGTGTATATTGTTTATTTTGCTGTGATTCTCTCATGATTTAGCCGGGCCTGCTTGGCGCCGAGCCGCGGGGGCCTCTCTGTCAAACAGCGTCTTCGTCGCGAGGCGAGGACGCGCGCGTGCTCGGCCCCCTTTTTCGTTATTATTTCTTTTCCTCGACTATAAAAGAGAAAAGCGACACGTCGTCGCCTCGCAAGGACGAAGCGAAGAGGCCGCATCGTACTAGACTTTTCTTGCCTCGCGGGTACGTGCGAGTATGAGTTTGTGTGTGTGTATGTGTGTGTGTATGTGCGGGCGCATGCGTGCGTGCGTGAGTGTGTATGTTTGCATTCGTGTGAGTGTGCAAGTGTGTGTGTGTGTGTTTACTGTGCCTTGGCGTGCGCGTGAGCGCGGGCTTTGCTGCCACGCTCAAGTTTAACTCGTGTTTGTATTCGATCCAACCCCTCGGTACACAGTGCCGAGGAAGAGACCAAAGCCAGCCTTGGTCCGCTATTTGCGCTGCTCTGCCCCGCCCCTGCTCAGCCGCCTCATTCTGGGCCGAATCCGAGCGCGGTTCTATGTGCTGGATTAACGTCGTTTGGCAGTCGCAGTTTGAGGTCGACGGCCTTTCTTTGTTTCGCCTGTTTCGTCGCTCCTTATACATTTTTTTTGGAAATGTGTCTTACTGTGCCATGCTAATCGACAAGCGGGCATAAATAAAATTCACGAATGGCTAGTTATTTTTAACAATAATCGTTAGTTTTGGCGGGAGGAGCGGGTCGCGAGGGCGAGGCGAGCGCAGCGCGTGCCGAAGGCAGCACCGAAGCCCCTGCACGGGGAGTGAGACGGCTTCTGGAACTGAATTATTTTTGGAAGTGTAGAAGGCACGAATTGCGAGTGAAAAATTAGCTTAGAGATACGAAAAAATAATTGTGATTGGACACAAAACAAAGATTTGAATGGTCTCGATATATTTTTTATGAAATTAGTTACTGATAAAACTATGAAAGCTCCTTGTCTGTTTATGTTCACGCGCCTTTGTTCTCAGGATACTAGACAACTTTTCTAGCTTTCCCAAAACAATTGCATCCCCATTATATTCTCAATGACCATTAGGTAGTCGACCCTAGTCCGCCCCCCATCAGACACCTGTTACAAAATTCATTACCAAAAGGACCCCCGGCCCAACCAGCCTCTACCGGTCCTCCTTCAGGTCAACCTAAGTTCACTGCCCCCCCCCCTTTTCCCCACGAGAGGTCGAAGCTAAACTCGGATTAAAATCCGTGACTAGTGGGTGAACGCTCGGGACGCGGGGGAAGAGGTGAGGAAGCGCGCCGGGGCCGGGGCAGATTCAACAGCCCGCCGGCCTTTGAGCCTGCCACGGTTTTGAACTTCCCTCCCCAGTCCCGGGCGACGCACACAGGTCCTGGTCCGGCCCCCACTTGCCCCTGGATTTCATAAAGCCCATCCCCTTTGGAATGGGGAGAGGAGAGGCCGGGTCGTTTTGATATGGGCCTGCCTGGGCTGGCCTGGGCAGGCCGGGCCAGGTCCTCTGCTCCACGAGCTGGCGCAGCCCAGCTGTGCGAGGCTAGAGGCGAGGGTCGCACCTGCCGGCCTTCCCCGTGGGAGCGACAGAGAGAGAGCCCCCCCCCCCCCCCCCCCCCCCTCTCTCTCTCTCTCTCTCTCTCTCTCTCTCTCTCTCCCCCCCTCCCCTTTGGCCTGCTTGTGGCGTGTAATGCTCTGCCGGCCTGGCGAGTGGAGGGTGGCTTTTAAACCGATTACGTGCCGTGATGTGATGAAGACAAATGAACCACTTTCCCATGATGAATGACATGTATGGAGGAGGGCACCCCTGACTCGACTCACCGTCTGTCTGCGTTTCCTCCTCCCCTCCCTTCTCTCTGGCTCTCTCTCTCTCTCCCTCTCTTATTCACCCCAATCCTTCCCTCACGTAGACGTCCGCCATGCTCCTACTCTCTACTTTTTCCCCTATACCAACTGTTTGTGGTTCATGTGCCTTAGGCAACTCAAAGCGCAGCATAAAGTTTAAGGAACGTGCGAAATTCTGTCATTTTTTCGTAGTATTGTGTCGCCAGCTCCAGAGCAACCTACCTGCTCTGTTCTGAGCTGTGTTGCGAATACAGTGCCAAGGTTGTGTCAGACTCTAACAAATGGTCAAGATTTTGTAGCAAAAGAATTAAATGTGCAAGTACTAATGAAGTAAATAGGCAACGAAAGTAAAAAAACTATTTTTGCTTGTATTCTTGACATTGGACAGTTTGACACCAGAGCACCACCTACTAAATAATTGTTGTTTCAAATTGAAAACAGTTAATTTGCTTTAACAAATATTTTGTTGTGGTTGTTATTTTAGCAGCAGACCAGTCACATCATCTAAGCATTGATTTTCACTAATCTGTGATATTTGAATAGTTATTAAAGTCAAGACACTCAAAATTTTAAACATTTCCTATGGGATTTCTCATTTTAAAATTTTAAGAATTAATTAGTCATGTGGCTTTTATGCAGCAGATTCTGGCACATTCATAAGATTGATTTGGTATGAGAGCTAATTCTTTGGGATGGGCACTACACAGCTGTTGCTGCTTTCTCTTAGGTGTGCAGTTTTTCCTGAAGGAAGACAATTGAAAAGCCCCTCGCTCTCCAAAAAAATGTGTACATGATCTCAGTGATGTTTGCTTCAGAATCTGCTTTTTAATTCAGTAGTTCAGGATCTCTATTGTAATATAGGATTAATGCTTGTACCTATCAATTATTTTGGGAAAAATTAAAAAATAAAATTGGTGTATATGAAAAGAAAACTTAGTTGTGGAGTGAATACAAAATAGGGAACAATATCGATTCTATATTTTACAGTGCAGAATTATTTGATAGGTGCCTTGTAAAGTTGCATAAAACCCTTGTCTATTGTTAAGCAAAGTATTTATTCATATATATGTACATAAGTATTGTAGATGTGTAATTAAAAGTATAAAACATGCAAAAAACGCATGCATGACTGTATTATATTGTGTAAGTAGACATGGAGTACGAAATGGGTTGCTTTTTGTGACAGCATTTTGTTGAAAACATAAAGCTATGTGTTAAAAATATAGCGATTGTGACAAAATCAGATTAAGTGAATTAGTACATACATTCCCTCTTCATTCAATACTCTGTTTCCATCACGTTGTTAATTATATGTATAGTTGTCACATACACGAAACGGGCTGTCACAATGAATGTTCATTTTGTTAGACTATTTTTCTGAGATTTACAGAGTGCTGATTTCTTATTGTTTAGCAAACATCTATACAAAAGAGTTTTACCTGGAAAGATGGAAATTGTGTCTATTTTGCACACCATATGATCTGCACTTGCCAAAAAATTGTTTGGAATTGAAACTTCTTGAAGGAGGTTGTTGATGAGAAATCCAATGGGATTTATGAATTCCGCAACTGACTTCATTTTAAAAAGTGTAGTCATAAAACAAGTAGATTTTAAGCTGAGAAAATTTGAATTGTTGCAAATACTTTTATCACACATGCAAATTTAGAATTTTTCAGTTTTAATTTGTAGATGTTAACTTGCCCTTTCTCTAGTAGGACAGCATAGTGACAGCTACAAATTGTAAAATGTTAATTGACTGAGGGATACATCTTTACATTTCTAAGAACCTTACAAATGATTTTCAATATGTTTGTTGTTTTATGCTCTGTTTTGTTTGTTTGATTTTCTATGACATGCAAATTAAAGGACTTAAATACAACTTTGGCGAGTGATGGAAATTAATTAGCTATACATTAGATAAATTCATCATTATCAACTTACCCTTCCCTTACTGCTGAGCTTGTCCTGTTTCTGTGACTGTGTTACAAACTCGTTTATGACTTTCCCAACACTTCACTTGGCATTCCCTACAAATTTTAAAAGACAAAAGAAATAACTATGACAAATGAATATGAACAGTCAATATGTTATCAATGAACAGTTTTGGTATCTCTCTTACCTTCCACAATATCTTTCTATTTTGCACCGTGAGCAGCGTTTGACAGCTGGATCTCCACAACCAGCACATCTCACCTCCTCACTTATCAAATGTTCAAATGTCTCAATATTGTAAGCAGATTTCAAACTGAAACAGTGTACATGCCAGACAATAGTAGAATATAATTATGAGCACAGCATGTTTACTAACAAATACAAAAATCTACCTTTGAGCCATTCTTAAAAAAGTATCCTTATCTTTGAGGAAGAGTATTTTTGCTTGCCTGCAGGCGATTTTCTGCCACTTTCCACCTCCCCAATCCAATATACGTCTCCTTATCTGATAAAATCATACAGGGATAATATTTAAAATCTTGCAATACAAGCTTTGAAAACATTAAAATTAATCCTACCTCTGGGATGACCTCAAGTATTAAAGGTTTCCGTGATGTAGATGAACCACTTGATATTTGGAGGTGACAAAGGAACTGCTTAAGGTCAATAAGTGGTGATAATTGATCAAGAAGAGGGTCAGTCATGTATTTCAGGACCTATAAATATCGAAAATACTCCAATTTGAACTTTTTTCTAAAATTTGAAATATTTTTAAGAAACAAGAGACATACTTTTTGTAGCTGACTTCTCCTAAATTCAGAAAACTCATAGTTTCTTGCACAACTATCTCGTAGCAATAGCTGTCTTAGGGCCAACCACACTTGCCCCTCAACTTGGGTCAGTTTCATTAGATCTTCACCAGATACTTCAACCCACTTCCCATCTAGTGTCAGTAAAATATTAAGAACAGATTACTTTACCAACAGTCATGACAAAATTGATGTCATATCAGAGGTACAGGATGTTTAGAACGGACAGGTGAGGAGAGTATTTAATCATCCAAGATGGTCCTATATCTACGATGCAAGAAGAAAATCTGACAGAAACAAACTATCCAAGTGCTAAAAGCAAGAGTCAGTGGAATGTGCAAAAATCACACCAGAAAAGACAAACCAATGAGCTTAAGCTTCTGTCCTCGTGTTTTAGGATTTTCTCTTTCCCACGGTCGATTTTCTAGCAAATGAACCAAAAGTAGGGGTACATCATGATGTGTATACATCCTTGATGTCACAGCAAGTGGTAAGCTATATGAAACAAGTATGTTAGTGCAGTCAACTTTAAAAAAGAAAAAGAAAAAAGAGAGGAAAAACGGCCTTCTTACCTCTCCATAGATTCAATCAGATATTGTAAAATAGAAATACAGCTTATTCCTATATTAAAAGAGATGAGTGCTTCTTGGTCTTTTATTGCATCCCTAGTTGAAGTACACGAGGGATCATTAGGAGATTTAAACCTGCATCCCAAAAAACACCTCAATTTAAAAAATTTCAGAAAAACAAAAACAAGTACAATACTGAAAAAATTTGGATGATCAACACTTACCCTGTGGCAACTTGGAACAGCAATGGCATACAGTAGTCTAGTAAATCAACAGCAGCATCCCCCAAAGCTTCACACGAGTCACTATGAAAGAGAACACTTTGGAGAAGGGATACTGCAGTAGCTTCATGATATAGCTGGGGGAAAAAATGTGAAGATGAATAATTTAAGAATTTTGGTTTAATGTCATTTTCAATAGCAATAGGCATACCACAATAAAGACCAAAATAGTATCTTTTGGGTTTTCTTCAATACGAAATATTTCTGGAAGAACATTCTCCCGCCACACAGAAATACATATTGCATCATGAACCAAAACAGAGACCTTTGAAAGAAAATTAATTAACAGTTAGCATATTTTTTTAGAAAATGTATTATTGAAGAAAAAATCTTGCGTTACCTTGTCATGTGTTGCAATAAATTCTTTAACGACTTCTTCTCTATGCTCAGACGCTTCTAAGGAAGCTTGTTGAGTCAACTTTAGCATATATCCATGGCTCTGCAACCAGCTAAAGAAAAGCACAAAAAATTAGCAGAAACATTGCAAAATTGTGACAAAAACACATCGCCCGTTTTCGTACCTTTCGGTTCCCAGTTCGTCGATCTTGCTCGGCTTTAGACACATCACTAACTGCTCGATCTCTCCAGCATTCAAAACGTCAAACGATCCTTGTTCCATTTTGATTCTGATAACAGAAATACAGACAGTTCTTTGGTTCCAGACTAAACGATCTCGTTCCTTCGGTTTGAGCAAGAGAGGTCAGCTGACATTTAGAGACAAACTAGCCGCCGTCGGACATTTGTAAATAAACCAACAAAAGAGGTACGAAATAAGCGCCTTTTAGAACTCCTCAAGTCGGCCTCGTTCATTTTGTCCACCAGAATGCGCTGTAGTCGAACATATCAACCTCCCTGCACCTCTCCTCCTCCCCTCTCACCATGCATCCGCACTGTAGCGGTTACGTTTGAATCCCGGATTCGAAAATTGTAACGGTCGCTTGTGTTTTCTCCTGTCGGCATGATTGTTTACTGCGATAGTTTTGTCTCGGATTGAATGGGATATAGATTACCAATATTAGTCTTTTGTCTTGACAAGTGTCCCGCTATAGTATTTTGACGATTGGTAGTACAACTTAGTGAAATATTTATATTATTCGACGTGAAAACTGTGTAAAGCCGGCTGACGATATGGATGCATTCACTCAGGTAAACCGAAATTTTCTCAGCTCTATTTTAATCCTTTGTCTCGTCCAATGCTATGATTTGCGTCCTTATTATTTCACGCTTTTTTTTATTTTAAATGTTATTGTTCCAAAACAATTCAAAATTTAAATTTTACAATTAGAATGACTTTTTCCTTAATTTGTTTGGTTAGGCCTTTTTCGTTTTTCCAATCGTACCTACTCTTCTGTTTCTGCTGTATTTCGGTTTAGCGAAGTTTAATCATGCTTTTAAATATTTTGGGATGTTTCAGCGAATGTTGGAGCGTGCTCAAGCTCGAAGAGAGAAGTTAGACAAACAGCTTAACAGTGTTGGTGAACAATCAGCATCAAAAAAGAGAGCTCCATTGATTGAAAACAATCATGCAGCAAATGAAATGGGTACTGACTTACCTCTATGTCCACTACTTAATATCCATTTGGTACTGTTTCCTTACAATTATCTCTTTTATTATTTAGACTTGCAATCAAAATGTGCTTCTCCATCTCCAAGAAAAAGCAACATAGCGACTAGGAAGATGTCAACTGCTTCACCCAAGCGAACATCAACAAGCGGCCGCAGATTTAGTAAATCCCCCAAGAAAGAAGCTACTTCACCTCCACCCCCACGTCAAGTTTCAGAAACTGAGTCTGATGAAGATGAAAGAGGTATGCAGACTGATTCTGACAGTGAAAGAGAGCTTGTTTCTGACGCAAGCAACTTTCAAGTGAAGGAATCTAGAGAAAAGGCAGATGGTGATAGTGGGGCTGTTATTACTGATCAAGTTCGATCTCGCCTCAGGCGCTTGGGAGCTCTCTATTCTGGTTAGTCTCTTCTTCTCCATAGCTTAATTGGGTCAAAACAATGTTGTTCATGTTATACTAACTGTGTTTGTTTTTTCTTCCAGATTCTGAGCAGTTGTCATCACCTATTCATCGTACTGAAAACAATTTTTCTGCAGAACCTGCTTCACGGCCCACCCGTAACAAATCTGCAACACGCTCAGCCCGTTTAGCTGCCCTTGCCAGTACAATTAATGAATGGGAAGATGACCTCAGCCATCCAAGTGTGGCAACTGCCTCTGCTCGCGTCAAGGCTTCAGACTCACCTGTAAGTCCAAATCTCATTTCCTATCTATCTTCACCAGAAGTATTCCTTTAACTACCTTCTGAAAAGCTTTCAGAAATAATACATCTAACTGTATTCGTATTGAAAGCCTTGCATATTGCGTACCCTCTTAAATATTCAACTAATTCTCACTGATTATGATCTTTTAACTGATTGCGGTGTGACTTTAGCAATTTCATGCTTAACCATCTATTTGAGTTTTTGAATTTGTATTGCTTTTGTAAATGTGTGGTTCTGAGTGTGCTTTATATCAGAGGCAACTTTTTGATTGTAGTCTGTCTATTGTGATCTTAAAAGCTTGTATACTCATGAAATCGTCTTAGATATTCATTGATGGACTTTGTTGTATACCTCTCATTGACAATTTCATTTTTTTAGAAACCTGTTACAAGGTTTAATGCAGCTGGAAGAAAACGAAAGTCAGTTGACAAGAATGAACTGCAACCCACTGTCAGTAGCCCTGCTAAAAGTTTAGGGAGTTCAATTAATACCACTTCCAGCTCCAGATTACCTGGTTTAAAGGCTACCAGGAAATCTGGAGGAGGATGCAGTCCAAAAGGGAAAATACCAACAGAGGTAACATCTCCCACCAAACAGTTGCAGTGGGACAAAGCCATGCTTGATAGCTTGGTGAGTGTTCTTCACTTGCTCTAGTATTTAGGTTTTTCAATTTGGGGCCTTCTGGAATCAAGAAATTTGGTGATAACACTTAACTTAATTTTCCTGTCCCGTTACAGAGCTTTTACATCTGTTGGTGTTTGTGTCTCTTCCCTTAATTGTTATCTTCTCATGTTAAATTAATTTTTGCATGCATGTTTGCAGTGTAATACTCAGGTTTGCATGGATTTTCTGGTGTTGAGGTTCTTTCTTATTTGATTTTGTTGGCTCCTCAATTTTTTAGAGGTGACCTGTCATGTCACTACCAATTATCAAAATTGAAGAATAGGCAGCTATATTGAAGAATTTGAGGAATTCTCCAGCATTGTCTTTTTGTTTTGCATATTTTATTGTTCCTTCTGTTCTTTCTATTTAGATTTATCTTGTCTTTATGTTATGTGTATGATATCTTGCGTGTGTGAATTTAAAGTAGATGCATGGTTTGTGTTTATTGGCATGCAGGAGTCCCAGGGTTTTACCCGGTCTACTTCCAATAGTCGACTTACATATGACTTTGAGGAAGGAAGTAAAGACTCCAGTATTGATTCAGAAGGGTTGCAAAATTTGGAAGAAGAAGAAGAAGATGATCATGATGAGGTAGGGTTTGACTAAGGTCAAATGCAATGTAAATGTACTAAGTAATTCTCTTTCCTACGCATTTTCACATTTTATTTCTACTTTAAAGCATGGCATCTTGACATCCCAATTCAACCTTTGTTTGCTGTAGTAGTTAGTCCTATATTTTGTTACAGAGCCCAGCACGAAGCCCATTGAAAAGGGATATTTGTAGCCCATCAAAGAACTTCAATAAGTTCACTAGCCCATCTCGCAGCCCAATGGTCATGGGAGTAGCTCAACTTCGAAATTATGCTTCTCCCACAAAGCAGGCTCCTGGTAGCCCTAAGCAAGGCGCAGCTTCACCAGCTAAGACTCAATTCAAAGTCAACCTCAAGCCGGTTGGTTATCAGGTCTTCTGTCACTCATGTCACTCTGATTTGGATACATTTTAAATTTTCTTTTGATTTTTCAAACAGGTTAATATTGATGTTTCTCAACCAGAGGGGTCAGTATTACAAAGAGCTGCAAAATACGAGTCTGAGGCTACTAGCCCATCCAAGCGTCTTGCAAGGGATCCAGCTGAGCTACCCCTCTCTGAGCGAATGGCACTATTTGAGAAGAACAAAGGGCCGTTACTGGTGCCCAAAGTTCCATTTGGGGTACCAATGCCTGCAAAACTACTGAAAGAGACAGAATGTGGTACTTACTAACTTACTAAGCTAATAATTCCTCTCTTAAATTATTTCCTTCATTTTATAAAATCTATAACTTTTACAAATTCTTTTTCAGCTTCTCATCAAGCACGTAAATCTCCTCAGCTAATTCGCAAATCACCCCCACAAACTCGAAAGTCTCCTCAGAAACCTTCAACAAGCTCATGTCCTCCAATCAAAGAACCAGTGATGAATCTGCCTAAATCTCCAAGCAAAGTAGCTACTACAATGAAACAAAATATTGAGGAGTCTGCTATTCTTCGACGCTTGCAACTGTTTGAGGCTGGAAGAGTGGGTCTTGAGGAAAGTCCCAGCCGTCCCCAAAACCAGGCAGTTGCTGAGAGGCGGAAAGAGATGGAGATGCTTTCCAGTCGATGGAATCGCAACAAAGAGATGGCAGTAGATGAACCGAGTTCTCCCAAACCAAAGACTCAAGCTTCACCACTAAAAGCTTCTTTCAACATGGTCTGTAACATTCGTGTGTTTTGCTTGCAAACCAGTAATTGAGTACCAACCGTAAGCTTTCAACTGTTTGTTTTCTGGTGTTCTTTTTAAAGGTACCAGGAACCCCACCTCCGCCACCTCCTATGCCTACTTTGCAGCCATCAACTAAATCGGCTTCACCTCGCCGTTCACCACGACGTCCTCCAACTCGTAAGTTTTTAGTTCTGATGTAATTACATATTATGTCTATCTTAGTGTCTGTGGAAAAAGAAATCTTCTGCATCATTTGATGTTATTTTTGCATTCTTTAGAGGAGGGTTACCCAGGCCTAACAGAAGTTAAAAAGATCAAAGTTTCGCCACCCAAGCCAGGTCGCTTATACCCAAGCCTTTCGGATGTGGAAGCTACAACGGAAACCGAGGAACAATCTAGTGGTGAACAGAGGTATGCTATTTTGTCCATGTGTTTTCTAATCTAAAAATAATAGTAAGATTTCATGCTGTTATCGCAGGTAATTTAGTCATACATTATTTAGTAAATTGTTTCCCCTTGAAAATTTTCAGTTATGAGGATGCTGAATCAAGTTTAGAGCCTGAATCAGCTGATAATAGCTTTGGCAAAGACATACTGGAGGCTGCAGAAAAAGTTCACTCATCTTACAGATCACAGAAGGATTCCATGGTGAGAAAATTTCTTACTATGCAGTTGTTTACCTTTACACAATGATGTTTTATAAATGTAGTAATTTTTAAACTAATATTCTAGGATGATGTTTCAATCACTGAGTCTGCTGTGCTTAGAGATATGGATGATTTCCTTGATGAGGCTCTTGATAGTTCTGACGAAGAGCGAAGTTGTTCTCCTAAAAAGGTACAAAGAGTAAAACTAAGCTGCCTTGCCAGCACCTTTCATCCTTGAAAAGTGAAAATTTTTTATCACCTGTATTATTTATTTGTAGGCTCCGATAACTCCCAGTAAAAAGTCTGACAGTTTTTACTACAAGACATCTGTTCAGGAACCAGTTCCTGCACCTACTCTGGAACGCAAGTCACCGAGGCGAGCTTCTACTAAATATCGTGCTCCTCCTCCACCTGTTACACCTTCAACTACATCTGAGGAGCAGCAACTACCACTGATGCACACAGTCAGTTTTTACAGAAAGCAGCAGAATATGGTATGTTGTATGTTTAGTGAATAGTACACCTTTTTTAGATTACTTGTACCTTATCTCATTTGTGGGTATTCATATCTCATTCTATTTTATAGACACCTCGTACACCTGCTAAACAAGTTCAAACTCAAGGATCCCCTGAAAAATGTTTGGGCTCACGCAAAGAAGACAATAAAGAACATGAAAGAAATCTTGTTGAAGTTCGAGTCAGAAATCTCCTTGATGAAGTTTCCAGACAGCAAACTGTCATTTCCCAAGCCAGTCAAGCTCTTAATTTGTGTAATGCCACTGTTGAATTCTCTGGTTCTGCTGAACAGGTTGAAGGGGAGAGATTGTTGTTACTATCTAGTAAGTACTGTGCTGAGATTCTCATCAAAACCACCAACTTATTGTGTCATGTATCTGTATCATGCAATTCATTTTGTTTGATTTTAGCACACAAACGCCAAGCCTCTCTCAATGAGATTCAGAGGTTGAAAGTGGAAGGTACCCTGCGTCCTCAAAACCCATCTGGTCATGACACAAGTAATTTCTCAGAGCATGGCACCCTTCACATCAGTGAAATTACCTTACCAGTCAAGCGTGATTTTGTAAGATCCATTGCTGCTGAAGATAATAGCCATCATTTTGTGTGCCTTGCTAAATGCCAAGATGTCGTCCTGGCCACTTCTGTCCTGTCAATCTCAAACACAAGGGATTTGCAGGGTGGTCAGACTCTACGTTTTACCTCATCTCTGACTCTCCCAGACCTATACAGCAACTTCAGAGTTACTTTAGAAATCTACACTATGACCTGCCGTAAAGAAATGCTTCCCCATGATGTGAAGTATCACATCAATAAAAAGGTTTGTTGTCTTTCAATTTTTAATTTTATAAATGCTATCTCATTTTTAAAAATCTAAAACTTCTGTTTTGGTCATTGCTTCTAGGATTCTAAACATCGCATGACTCCCAAGAAACAAAAGCAAGACTCTCATCTTTTGCGCCCCCCTATTCAATCACCAGCTGGCCCAGGAGCTGTGAGGTCTCCTCAGTTCTCTCTTATTGGATATGTCATTTTCTCTCTGCGTGAAATTCAAAGAACGTCATTTACTCTCAATAAGGTGAGGTAGCTGCTTAGCTTAAAATATTCTAACAGACTCTTTTTGCTTAAAATTTGGACTGATGTGTAATCGTTGTTGATTTTTTTATAGGTACCGTATACTAGTCCTCTTGAAGGAAGTGTTCAGCTTCACCTTAAATGTGATCTGTCATTAGATATTGAACACAGAGGCTTTCTTACCATGTATGAAGTAGTTTCGGGATATGGTGCATGGCATAGGCGTTGGTGCCTTCTTAAAGGAGAAATGTTGTCCTATTGGAAGTATCCTGATCATGAAAAGAAAGAGGTTTGCATCAAAATGAATTAATTCCAATTATTGCTTGCATCATTACACATTTTACATGGTTCCTTATTTGAGAAATCTTGTCTTAGGTTCCAATTGGTTCAATTGATCTGCGGTCTTGCATAACTGAAAACGTGGGCCTGGTGACAAGGGATCTTTGTGCTCGTCTGAATACTTTTCTTCTTGAGACCTCTCGACCAGCTAAATCAACTGATGAAGATTCACTAGACTTGGTGTGCAAAGGCAATGTCACTCATGTTCGGTAAGTATTTTGGTTGTACCATGTGTCGCTACAAAATTAACTCTCCCCCCAATCTTAAGTCCCCTACATTTGATTTTTGTTTTAGGCACCTCCTGTCAGCTGATACGAAAGAAGAGCGAGTTGACTGGTGCACTCAACTCAACAAAGCACTCACTGTAATCCGTGCTTGGGGAAAGAACTGAACTTAGCTTTGGTTTGTTTTCTTTATTGTCTGCCGGGATAATGAGGGACCATTTACTTTTCCTGTACATTGTCGTCAGTAATTCTATCATAGTAAGAGACTTTATCTGTACTCAATTCACTAATCACTAGTATTGCATGCATTTATATGGGATAACTCAGCTCTCTTGTACTAATATTTTTATTAAGCTGTACATAATTTAATTTATCTTTGAATGATACTTACCTTGAACTTTGGTATGTACCATTTTCTTCTTGACTCTGTTTTACTAATTGCTTCACATTTCTAATGAACTAAATAATTCTAGAAAGAGACACAAACAGTATTATTCAAGCTAAATCACTTGTTAACATTTTGTAGGACACCATTTTCTCCTATTCTGTTCTGTGTTTTCATATTAGATCTTAATATCTTGACTTTCTTGTAAACTTCTTCACTAGGTCAAGGCTATTATTTTCTTTTAATCATTTTAATTTGCTCTCTATTATGAGAATCTCATTTAGTTTTACATTAGTTGCAGGTGTGGGAGGACATATGTCTAGTAGCTTTATTCTAAACTTTTTAAAAAGCTGACTAACATTGACAGACTGTATTTACATGCAAAGTTTAAATTAACTCTTATTTTATCACTTTTTTTACATGCAAGTGATATGTAATATTAATATAGTCCAGCAACCAGTCTATGTAAAGGTTCACTGCACAGGTTTGCAGAGATCTTATACACAGTCTGGTGCAAATATCTATTTTGTGTTATATTTTATTCACTTTATTTTGACTTGATGACACAAGGGCTGTGTACTTTGTACTGCCTTTTAATTCATTCAACTAATGCTCTCTCTCCAAACCCTATGTTTTAATTTTTTCCTTTAATGTGTGATGAATGTGTTACCTGTAGTTGATCTGTAAAACGTTGGCAATATTTCCCAAAATTTTCTCATCTTAGAAAAATATTGTTCTAAATTTTTGTGAATTTCCAGTGTATCGT